TGTGTGTGTGTGTGTGTGTGTGTGTGTGTGTGTGTGTGTGTGTGTGTGTGTGTGTGTGTGTGTGTGTGTGTGTGGAGTGGGGGCAAAGAAAATCTCCTGCATTTGTACGATGGCTCACTAACAGTGACAAAAGTGAGTGTTAAGACCTCTCCAGTGCACTTGCTATCACTGTTATTTGCACCAAATCAGGTGAAATTGTTTCACAATGACTTATGGCTTCCTAACTGAACAGATTTGCATCCCTGGAGATTAACTAACTTTGTGTTAAACCTTCGATACTCTGACCCCTTACTTATTTCACGTCTTGTCATATTAACACATTTTTTATGGCGCACTCCTGTGCAGCAGACGGCGCTACATGTATCACGAGGGCTCTGGTATCCACCAATCCAAAGAGCTCCAGGTTGTGGGCATGAACTATTTTGACCGCTTTGCTTTCGTCTCATTCGTGCTGTCCAATCAAGCTCCACTAAAGCGAGGCACCGCCAAGATCAGATTGTGAGAGACGCTGCTGTAGCAAGGCTAACGGAAAGTCGATAGGAAAGGCTAGCGAGCGATCTGTTAACCTGTAAGGTGCACCGGTAAGCAGCATCTACTCAACTGCAGCTTGTCACTCAGCTGACGCATATGATAGCACTGACGTTAAATATCTGTATGACCTTCTATTGTTTGTTAAGTATATAGGAAAAAAAATGTTACCGCCAATAAATACAAAGCTAACCGTCGAGGTAAACTTGTAGCTAATTCTGGGGTTGTCGATGACAGCTGGGGTTTAGCTTCTGTGCTAACCCACTAGCTAGTCAGTGGGCTAACAAAGCGCTGAAGCACCTACTTCTTGAAGTGCAATCGCGAGCTAGCTCAGTGTTAAAATAAACATTTTAATAATAAAGTAAAGTACCTTTTGCATTGCATTTAATATATCCTCTTTCAAGTCGCTAACTTACGGCATGTAGCTGACGGTAACGAAGTGAAGAGCAAAGCTAGTTTTTGCGGTTCATGATGATTGTAATCGACCTGATTACAGTAACGTACTTGTATTGGATCCATATGCAACAGTTCGTTTGGAAGCGAACCTTATAAAAACTAATATTTAAGTTTTAGACACCTCAAAATGGCCACCTTTCTGTGAATTTAGCGTCAGGAAAGTATTCGTAAGGCTCTTCGTGTTTTATTAAGAACAAATAGGAAAGGTTACGCGATTAAATGCGTGGAATAATAATAATAATGGTAATACTAATAAGTCGAGGGTTTAAATGTAACTTCCAGACAACAAAGTGTGTTATTCATTAGTTAGCTATGTGTGTTGATACTGGTTACTACACTGGCAAAAGGAGGTCAGCGGTTGACAATAAAACGCAATCAACTCACGGAGTATATACGGCTACCTGCAACTGGTATTTTAGAAGTTGTGGTTAACTGTGGCAAAAAATTTTATCGTCTGGATAAAATCCACCTTGCTGGCATCGATGGCAAACTTTGTTTACTTTTTCAGTCTCTTTGACTTGGAAACGATCACTCTTTGTACAGCTAGCACACAGCAAGTTATGCAAATCCTGACATGACTTGTTGTATTAAAAAATAAGCTTAAAAGTGAAATACTCAATCTGAATACATTATTTGGTACTTCAAATGAACTATATAATTGTTAAAAAGTATCTCGACATTTCTTAGTTTGTTTCCTGTTTAGTGGGGATTTAGACCTCCTCTTCCTCCATTCTCAAATGCCAACAACAACAGCCGTCGAGGAGACAGAGTGCACTCGTAAGCGCATACAGTCACCACAGTGAAGCTCATTCATCGTGCGAAAGGCACGTTCACTATTTTAAGTGTTAACCCATGCTGAAGTGTAGCTGGGATCTGCAGCACGGAACCAATAATCGCAACATTTCTACATGAATCGTCTCAGAGCGTGCAGGAGCTAACTAGTAAGCTAAGACCAGCAAGCTGGGTCTACCGCTAGCTGTTAGCAGCTAGCTGCGTCCAACAAAAGATTGTTCGTGCTAATCGACATATAATATGACCGCTGTTACAGTATCATGCAGCCACAGTGCCTGGAGCCATATAGTGCCTTCTCTGTTGCGACATTATCAGTTTAGCGCTGTTGTGATAAAGTTCGCTTGTTTGCGTGACCTGTAGCAGAAGTTGGACGGTGCCTCTCCTCCGGACGTGCTCGGTACCTGAAGTAGGCCTTGTGCACACTTAGCGTAGTAAAAGTTGTGAGCATCAAGGGATGGCTTAATATGGTTTCCTGCATAAAAAGAACACTTAAAAGTACTGCTCGGTGGCTCGTTCACGTGAGATTGGTGTGAGAAGCGTACATGTCTGCGCATTTTGGATAATAAAACAAACAGTGACGCTAACATTGGTGATGTAGTTAGCTTTCTACAATGTGCTCTTAGCAAGCAGACCAGATGGGCCTTACTTCAGAAATAAGTTTAAATTTCCTCTCCAAAACAAAGTGAAACACAGCTTAGCTTGGGAAACAGTATTGGGAAATATGATGTTTGGGTCAAACTGCAATTTTGTCATTATTTAAGTAATAGTTTGTTCTCTTTCTGTTTGCAGGGGTCTGAATAGTGACTGGCAGAAGAAAAGTCTTTTTAACCTAAAGCATACCTCTTTTCGGTCCTTTGGGATCATGGCTAAAGATGTAAGTAAATATATACATGGTTTCATGAGAAACATCAGGCTATTTCTGCGGTGTCACTTAAGTACAGTAGCTAATTTGGGTCCTTCAGTTTACTGGCTGCACTTAGTCTTGTAGTGTTTTCTTTTCTTTTTCTCTTTAAATAGACTGTGGGATTTGTTTAGTGACTTCATAGTGGAGTGGTTTATACATTTGCCTTACAAAAGATCCCCTGTTAGGTCCTGGAAGGTGACATAGTTCCATTGAATCAGGAAGGGCATCCGGCGTTAAAACTGTGACAAATCAAACTTGTGCAACTCGCTGCGGTGACCATTCGTAAATAAGGCATCAGCCAAAAGTAGCTTCTACTGTATGGAGTTTGTTTAACTTGACTAGTCTTCAATTCTTTGGTTTCTGTAGTATATTAAGTTGTTCTCTTTTACAGGCTGGTCTAATTGAAACCAATGGAGAGCTAAAGGTTTTCATCGATCAGAATCTGAGCCCTAGTAAAGGTATATTTTATGTATATTTTACAGAAATTGTGCATATGTGATATGCAGGGCTTTCTAAGCAACATGTACAGTCTAGTTTAAGAGGCAGCAGAGCTGTTTGTTGGTAGGTGGACAATAGGGGGCAATGGTGTTTCATTCAAAAACTTCCCTCATTAATGATCTTCTCATGTCTCCTATAAGGTGTCCTGTCCTTGGTTACTGTCCAGCCCACAGCTGCCCCTGTGGCCAAACAGCTACTACCCAAAACCCTTGGGCCATCCAATGTGAACGTCGCTACACACATGCAAAATGTGCCACACATGGTGAGTGAGGTCCTGTTAAGTCAGCATTATGTGGTTTCTTTTCTCTTAAGGCGTAGAAACCCTCAGCAAATTTAAAGAATGCTTTGGCTCTGCTAAATATTAGCTAGATGAATTTTTGTAGGGTTTTACTCTGCTTTATATGAATGTTGTATAAGCCCCCTCCATTATCATTGTGAGGTGACCGGGGAGAGGGTAGCTGGAGGCAGTTGATCCTAAGCTCATCAACTCTACAGTCAGCAGGATTACACCCATCATCCCATTATGTACAAGGAATGTATACATAACGGAAATCAGCTTAGATATCACCTTACTAAAGGAATAGATCACCCGTCTTCAAGATGCCTCACATTGCTGTTAGGGATGCAGTTTTTTAAAGCTGTGTCTTTAACTGTCATCAGCCCAATTCAGCATCGGGTTTTTATTAGTCATCATAAATGACTGAAATTCTAAAAATGTCTTATTTCTCCCTTAAAGCTGTATTCAAACAATCGCCAATGATGATTTTCATGACAAACCAAATATTTTGCTTACAAAGTCAAATTCTGTCAAATGAAATAACTGTCATTTAACTTTACTGCTTCACCTGTCAGCTATCTAATGCAAGGCCAAATGTATTTAAATCATTTCTTATTGCACTGAGGGTAGTTATAGCTTTCTGCAAGGTATCCTCAAAATGACAGAAATCAGCAGAAGATGCGCGTCCTAAAGAGAGTGAACAGAGTCCCACCTTGAGTTTATGTTCAGTGTGAATTGGTTCTTGTAGTTAAACATAATATATTTAAGTGTGAGGCTTTAGAAGAAATATTACATGTCAAGATTTGAGTACATGAGGTTTTAGAGGAGAAACTCATTGTTGATGACAACAAAAGCATGACTATCAGTGTGTGTTCTTTCTCTTCTCTGTGGTCTTCCTGTAGGTGATTGGAACACCCCAGAGGCCTACCGTATCGAACACCATTTTGGTAAACAGTCCACACACACCCAGTTCCCAGTTCCTCACACAGAGTCAACCAGCCGATGCCTCTCCTTGGTCATCAGGGTAAGGCTTCAAATTGCCCTTAAGATTTTAAGCTTGGGACATTATTGGTGAGCTCTGTCCAGATTAAGCTAAGCATTTTAGAATGGGTCAAGTCTGATAGCTATTCATAGCAATAAAAAAAAAAAAAAGTGAATGCCAGATTGCCACACATCAGTGTGTTTGTGTTCATAGTGACGTGGGCGCGTTTTTTAAAATTTTTTTATTTTTATGTTTGCAGAAAACGTGGGAAGAAAGGGGAAAAGAATGGGAAGGGCTTGAGGCATTTTTCCATGAAGGTGTGCGAGAAGGTGCAGAAGAAAGGAGTGACCACGTACAATGAAGTGGCAGATGAACTGGTGGCAGAATTCAGCTCATCAGACAACCACATGTCACCGAATGACTCAGTGAGCACTGCCGCTGTGTGATACTGTCTCAGTGATGCAGACTGATTACTCCTGATGAAGATATTTTAATTCTAAGATATATTTTTTAATGTTTTGAATTGCGTCTTTTTTTCTCTCTCTCATTTCAGCATGTGTATGACCAGAAGAACATTCGGCGACGCGTTTATGATGCACTTAACGTGCTTATGGCCATGAACATTATTTCTAAAGAGAAAAAAGAAATCAAGTGGATTGGTCTACCCACCAACTCAGCGCAAGAGTGCCAAAACCTAGAGGTAGAAACGCACAGCGAAGACAGTCACTCCTGCTTTTGTTACCAGTGTTAAAACGCTTTTATTTCAACTGTAGGTGGAGAGACAAAGGCGGCTGGAGAGGATTAAGCAGAAACAATCACAGCTTCAGGAGCTCATACTGCAGGTTGGATTTGAGTGCTGGTACTTGTGTGATCAAAGGGGGGCTACAATTATAGTCTTTATAGTGGTAATTGTGCATCAGGGCTGCAGAAGACTCTTTATAAATACCCCAAAAACTGATTGGCCTCTTTAGATTGCTTTTGTCTGCGTTTTGTCTCTTTTTGTGATGCTGGATCATAATGAATCAGTAATAAACAGAAGTTCTTCTCATTGAATCTCTATATATGCAAGTAGCACATGCAAAATGGCAACTTAAAATTGTTACAATGTAAAAGAAAAAATTAGCATTTAAAAAAAAAAAAGCATAAATATATCCAAGAATGCTGTAGTGCTACACTTAGTTCTTTGCAGCTGTTTGAGTTTTAACTTGTCTTTGATCTTGTCTTACAGCAAATAGCTTTTAAGAACCTGGTTCAGAGGAATAGGCAGACAGAGCAGCAGGCAAACCGACCTCCACCTCCCAACTCCATCATCCACCTTCCTTTCATTATTGTCAACACCAGCAAGAAAACTGTCATTGACTGCAGCATCTCCAATGACAAGTGTGTGATCATCAGCTCTGTTATTTAAAATGCTGGCACTTGGAATAATTTGTAACTGGGGGGGGAAAAGAAATTATCCAAAAAGTGGGGGAGGTGTTCACATTTTCATCGAGGCGCTGGTAGTGCTTCACCGGGCTGTATTTATTAGGGCTTTAATAAATAGTTGCGGAACAACATGTACTTGACAACAGCCCGTCAGCCACATAAGCTGCTTTATTTTTTCTAGCCATGTGACATGATTGTATGTAATACCTTGGAGCTGCATAGGTGGGAAACTCAACTATAATTGCAGGTTAATTGTGTTCTGGTTCTTGGCAAATAAGCTAAAAGAGGCTTGGAAGCCTTCTGTCAGTGCAAAGCATTATAGTGTGGTATCAAGATGTGCATTATAACAATAACTAGAATCTCCTCATTTTTAACTCAACATTTCAGTGTGTATAGGATTAGTGGCTGACTTGAAGAAGTAAATATGAGGCCTTCCCACATGCAACTAAACCAGGGGTGTCCAACTCCAGGTCTCAAGGGCCGATGTCCTGCAGGTTTTAGATATCACCCTGGATCAGGACACCTAAATCAACTGATTAGTTCATTACCAGCCTCTGGAGAACTTCAAGACATGCTGAGGAGGTAATTTCGTCATTTAAATCAGCTGTGTTGGATCAAGGACTCATCTAAAACCTGCAGGGCACCGACCCTTGAGGCCTGGAGTTCGACACCCCTGATCTAAGCTAATCCCCGCTTTGTAGATGAACTTTATTTTGAAAGGAATACTAGTAGCTGTCCTCAACGGACTAACTAAAATACTGAAGAACCTTTAGCTAATTTCTTCTTAGCCAAAGGTGTTGAAAATGGGACCCATGTTCTATTCTATTCAGTATGCTGTCCTTGATTTGGTACCCATGATCTTCTTTAAAATTAGAACGAACACTTGTTTGGATAATTGACCCTTTCCCATTTTTCCACTCTTCAGGTTCGAGTATTTGTTTAACTTCGACAGCATGTTTGAGATCCACGATGACATCGAGGTGCTAAAACGTATGGGCATGGCCTGCGGCTTGGAGGTGGGAAAGTGTTCTCCAGAGGATCTGAAAATCGCACGTAGCCTGGTGCCCAAAGCTCTAGAGCCTTATGTTATAGGTAAGTGACCAATATCCCTATGAGTTCGGCCCCCCTACCCCCCCTGGAAATTACGCCCCTGGTTCTTGGTGCAGTTGTGAACACAGTAATCACACTTGGATGGGGACCAAACAATTGGACCGAGACCCTTTGGAGCAGCGGTCTCCAACCCCTGGGCCACGGACCGCTACCGGTCCGTGAGTCATTTGGTACCGGGCCGCAAGAGTTGAGGCTCAAGTGGGAAATTTATGGTTTTCAGAGTTTTTATTAGTTTCTATCGTTTTTGGTTTTTTTAATCATTTTTATCGTTAACTCTGTTTCCCTGGGTCTTTTCCTCTGTGGTGCAAAAAAGGTTGGGGATCGCAGCTTTGGAGGGCAGGGTCTTGGGACACTTTATAAAAAAAAAAAAAAAAAAAAAAAAAAAAAAAAACCCCTCCAGTGCGGCTTATGGTATGATGATCTGACCTAACTACCAGGTCTGCATTTTCTGAAAATGAGTGAAAAACGGCTACACGTTTACAAACTCGTCAACTCGGTCTAGAGTGAGAGGTGAGAAAAACAAGCTTAGACAGAAACTGCTTCAAAGGGTTCAACGTCAAAGGGTTAGTCTTCATCTGCAGTTAAAGTAGGCAAGAATCTGTGCTTTCTGAATCCCTTTGTTCTATATCTCTTATCCCCACTCAGGTCTGTAAATAGTCGAAGGTCTTCATTCTAATTCATTTTCTCTTTATCCAGAAATGGCCAAAGGTCCCATCAGTAACGTCTACATCACTGGAGGTTCCTCTGCTAATGGAGCCCGTTACCCTGCAAACAGGTAAGAGTTGCTAAATGTGATGTAGCTCTAATGTGCACACTGCTTTTTCTAACATTTCCCCATCCTCTTATGCAGTGATGGCTGCACTGATGGCACCATGGCGTCCAGCTCAAACGATTCTCACTACAGCGGGTCTCGTGTGGAGACTCCAGTGTCTTACATGGGGGATGACGACGATGAGGATGAGTACGATGAGAATGACGATGAAGACTAACCTCCCTACACCTCGCCACTCCAACAAGCACAGTCTTCAAAACCACCCTCACCGTGGGAATTTAGTCCACTGTCGTGTGTGCTTTTTTTTTTT